TGCTGATGACAGCTGCTCCCTCAGCTCCTTTCATGAACGTATTGCCTTCTCGTTCAAATGAAAGGCTGCGGAATATTAACTCGGTTTGTTCAGAGTCGTTTGTGACTGGCACTTGTTTGCTACTGAATTCGATTATATTTCCACGGAGGGAAAGCCGATGGGGACTTCGATGCAGATCATCCAAGAACAAGCTCTCCATTATACAATAGCGAAATTTTGGAGCCTACCAGGTCCGATCCCTCTTTATTGACCGCTTGAACTAACGCTACTGCAAAGTTGTGAGACGTCACGTTCATAGCAAAAGTATCACCAAGTTGTAAAAGTGGACGAATATCTGCTAAAGGTACACGGAAGTGTGAAATTCAGCTGTACCAAACGTCTCATATCGGCTGTAATATCCAGCCTACTCATAGCAGCGCGCCATCTGAAAACAACCGCTTCCCGTTAGTCCAAATGCATTGTGGGTGAGAGTTGGTAAACAAAGTGGCGTTAAGCTAAAATGTTTAGTTCGCTCGTCCTGTATTTAAACATATCCACTATGTGAATGACTCGAAAGGCCCTTTGTATTCCCGGTGATCAAGAATACAACTCAACACTCCTTCTATTATTTTATTTCAAACAAACAACACAGCGGAGAGGTGTGGCTAAGGTTGGAGCCAAAATGGCGATGACAGGACGTCATTTTCCCACTTAGCACTGATTCATCTAACATTACTTAGCTAAGAAACAAGTGCGGAATTGAACTGCTGCAGGTCCGGAGACAGTTGAATATGGCTGAACTTGACCAACACGAAGGAGAGCAGGTATCGTTAAAACCGTTAGAACACGCGCCTCGTAGTTGATTTACAGATTATTCTGTTTAAAGCAACATGTATAACCTGAAGGAACTCTTGTCTTGACAGGACCTCGAAAAGAAAATTGTGGAGACGAGACAAAGATTCAAGAATGAGTTCCTGCAAGGTAACACAGTTATTTTGGATAACCTGGCATTAAGTTGCTCCTAGACCAGCCCTTTTTTTGTATTAACTACTTATTTTTGTTATTGACGTTTAACGCCACATCATTTTTCATAATGCAAGTTAACTGTCAGTTGCTTAACGTGTTGTTAACTTGATGTTAAATGTCCAGATAAGCTCCAAACGATAAGAAGCTAACGTTAACTACTTAGCACCGTATTGCTAAGTACTGTAACGTTGGTATTTAGATGAATTGCAGCCTATATACAACTATATGGCTTCCAGGTGGCCTCTTTTTTGTTTAAAATTACACTATATTATGGTAATTATAGCTTGAACAGTATTCTAATTTGGAATGTTAGTGTGATTAAAAGTGAAACCTTGCATATTACCTCTTTTTTTTTGCATTTGAAGGTCACGTGATTCAGCCTTTATGTTGTGTTTACAGACTCGGCAGATAAGTACGATTCTAGAGATGTGGAAAGGTTTCACAAAGATGATGTCCTGGTGGAGAGCTACCTAGCATGGAGACTTTATGTTGTTGATGATGCTTTGAAAATGATCGATGAAAGTCTTCAGTGGAGAAAAGAATTTGGTGTGAATGGTAAGAAAACATGCTGAATGTGATATACACAGTTTCACATCACCTAGTCATAGTATGAGTTGTAAAACCCAATACCAGTGCCATCCTTTTTGTGGAATTCTTTACTTTGACAAATGTAAATGTTTTTAAAAAAGTAAATTTTAATTAAACAAAAGAAGCCTGTGTTCAAAGAATTCAGAATTCCATGTCCAATCATATGTCTAAGAACTTATCCTAAATAATCAGAGTATGACCACGCCTTTAATTCCAGTTTTAGGTACTTGAAATTTTGGTTTCTGTTGCCACAGTTTCAGTTTCAGTGCCAAATAAATATTCAGTGTCCTATAATTGACACAGTGTTGTTTTTGTGCTGTTCTGGGATGAATCCACACAGAATATCATTGTGTGTTAAATACCTATGCAAAGGCAACCCCCTGAGAACAGTCTCCACTGTGTCTGTTTTCTAAGTAATTTCTCATAATAGCTGTTTTGTTTTTTGTTAAATCATTACCACAAATTCAATTTAATAAAGAGTTGTGTTTAGAAAATTACATTTATTTGAGTCCGTAGTATCCAGGGGCCGTGTAACTTTGGCCATATGTTTATTAGTTCTTTATTTAATCACACTTCATTGTATGTCAGCTCAAGCTGTGTCAGGAAGACCTACTTTCAGGAAACTGGGTTAACTTTTCTATTCTGGTTATGCAAAGTGAGTCACTTCCTCCAAAAAGTCAGAAGTACTGCTGTTTAGTTTGGGTTTACATATATTTTTACAGTTTGAACTGCTTTAATCTGTTTATATTAAGGAAAAGTGAAAAAACTGCCTTATGTAAGATATTGTATGTCTATGAAAAAGGTTTAAACAGTGTACAGAACTCTTACAGTCAATGCTGTCATTTATAGGTCTGCTTTAAATGACAACAACCACCAGTTAACAGTGTAATGTGTGTCTGCCTGCATATTTCAGATCTCACTGAGAGCACCGTTCCCACGTGGATGTTTGAGACTGGTGCTGTCTTCCTCCATGGCTATGACAAAGAGGGCAACAAGCTCTGTATGTTTTGTTACAGATCTCCTTAAACTCTGCTGATACAAACACAGCCTTTTTTGAAACTATTAAATCTGCCAGTTCCATTAAATGCATTTAAACATTCACTTTGTTTTCTGTATTTAGTCTGGTTCAAAGTAAAGCTGCATGTCAAGGATGCAAAAGTAGCCTTGGACAAGAAGAAGTACGTTGCCTTCTGGCTGGAGCGCTATGCGAAGAAAGAACCTGGGATGCCGCTTACTGTTGTCTTTGACATGACCGAGTCTGGCATCAGCAACATAGTAAGTCCATGATGTTGGTCTTTCAGATAATGTTTTTGTAGTTGTGCCCTAATACAAGTCACAGTTTTTTATATAAAGTTTTTAAAGGAACATTTTCATTCCCTTCCTAATAAACTGCTTTACTCTAAGTTTGAAACTTTGCCTTGACTGTCATTGAAATGCTTTTAATATCCTCATAGTTCTTGGTGTTTGAGCTGTGCTCCTGCAGGGACTTATGCTTTTTCAATGGTTTTACACTTTGGAGATTAAAGTAACCTTAAAATCCCATCGGTCAATTCGAGCATACTGGCTAATCTGTAAACTCGCTGTGTCACAGGCTAGGTTAGCTCCTTGCTGGAGCCCTCTGTCAGCAAGTGCATTTCATTGGCTAGGCTCTCTCCTGGAGAGATGGCTCAATTAAATACAAATAAACCATCACAAACACAGCAAAAAGGATGGATAGCTGTGCAATGAGTGGATTAGAAAACCAGACTGAAAAACAGCCTTATTGAGACTTGATGAAGCAAGTGTAGCCAATATGTTCTCATTAGGGCTCGGGAGTGAGGCTCTTGCATAGCGATGAGGCTTCTGGTCAATTATGGAGCCCACAGAGTTTTGAGATTGTATCTACATATTGACTGTTGTCTGATGATTGTAATTAACATAAATCAATAAAATCGAACAATGTTTTACCTGAGTATATTTTTCATAACAATTAAAGTGCACTGTCGTACAAAAAATAGCAATATAACACCCTTATCTTTCTCAGACAGGATTTGAGACAGATCAAGTGTGGGATCAGTCAGATGAGCTTGTAATGAGTTTTCATTTTATGTTAAGTGGCTTACTTCAGAGCTAGAGGTGGTTAAGAGTGAGCAAACATCCTCTTGTTGAAAATCCATAAAGTGTCTTTTATAATTGAAGTCCTCTATGTGGGTTTGGTTTTGAAATTATTTTTCCATTGTGTTTCAGGACATGGACTTTGTGAAGTACATTGTTAATTGCTTCAAAGTATATTATCCAAAGTTTTTATGTAAGTAACAAACGTTATGAAAGTACAATAAATATTTATCCAGATGCAAATACTTTTGCACTCACTCATTTTGTCTTTACCTGACATTTCAGCCAAAATGGTCATTGTGGATATGCCTTGGATCATGAATGGTGAGACTGAGCCTTCCTAGCAGTCTAGTATATTTTTATGTCCATCAGTGACCTATCAGAAATCTGGTTTTAAATATGTCTCACTTTCAGCTGCGTGGAAGATTGTGAGGTCGTGGTTGGGTCCTGAGGCAATCAACAAACTAAAGTTTGTACCGAGATCAGAGGTCCAGGCATTCATAGACGCGGAGTACCTCCCACCTCACCTGGGTGGAACGGTATGTTCTTATGTTTCTCCAAAGCTTGGCATCGTGCAGAAAGATGGTGTGTGCACAATTATTTTGTGAACCTTTACCACTATAAAATGAATGTAAACCATTTTAAGAGAGAGTTTTATCTTGAGTAGTATTAATACTAAACTGAGATCTGTAATAATGTGTTATTGATAGCATTTGTATTAAAGGAAAAAATAAACATTTTTCATGCATGTAGATGTTCTTCATACTTTGAAAGAAATGTTCAGATTTGTCAGGTCACAACTGTCCAGTTAATAATAAAAGTGAAAGTTATCACTTCAACAACAATAAACAGGTTTGAGTAACAGAATCTCCAATAAAAGTGAAAGTTATCACTTCACTAAATAAACAGGTTTGAGTAACAGAATCTCCCTTGCATAACCCATTTTGACTCATGTGGAAGTCATGGGATTTTCAGTACTTTACAAACCACGCTTCTAGTGATACAACTTCTCTGGCTACATTCAGGACCCCTTCAGATATAGCTACCCGCCTCTTCCTGATGATGACTTCCAAACTCCCATCTGTGACAATGGACCTATTGTTAGTGAGGATGAGACGGAGAGCAAAGAGGGTGATATGGAGAGCAAAGATGCCCTTGAGTCCAGCTTCAGCTCTGATGTTGCAGTAAAGCCCAAAAAGGTACCTTTTATTTCATGTTCATATCATGCATTAGCAGTTCTATCAGAGTAAATGTGCAAAAAACCTTAAACTTTAAAAAGAAAAAATCCCCATACACCATTTAATTTTATTAGAATATAAGGCAGGATTTCTCCTTATGTGGGTATTTTGATGTCATTGTTTGTCTGTGTCTGAATAGAGATGAGGAAGTGTTTTTAATATAGACCTGGTAAATGAATGTGCATTAATATTGCAGATGTTGAAACTAATACATTTAGCAGGGCCAGTGTTTCTGTTGCCAGTGTCACTGCTCTCATTTCGAGTTGTGAGTCGGTCTGATTCAGGCATTTCAGGCAGTGGTGTCCATTTCATACACATATAGATGTGCCCTGCTCCCAGTCATATTAAATGACATATGATCAGAGATTCCTCCTGTTCCATCTTTCACTCACGTGAACCAGACATTACAACATGTAATTAAGACACTCTGTGGAGACAACTGTGATTTAAGTGGCAAGTAATGCCCTGATTTGTTAGATGTTAAGCCCTTGTTCATTGTCTCTGTGAAGGTGACTCCTAATGTCTTTTGCTGCAATTAAATCCTGCCAACAAAGCCTGTGCATTACAGCCATCACACTGCTTCTCTCATCCTCTCAGCTATTCATATCATCCACAGAGGTTGATAAGACTGTTACATCTTAGGATGTTCCTTGTTTGTAGCTGGATTTCTGTTTATCCCCAAATGAGTTTTCCTTGAATGGTTGCAGCGTCATTTAGTTGTCTGGCTGTCATAGTCGGGGAACAGCAGAATTGGGGTTAACCTACATTTAATGTGAGTACTAGGGCATATCTGACTGTAGTTTATAGCAGCTGTTGAGATTTTTTCTATCCTCTGCCCATAGGACATAGCGGTGCTGCATCACCACCAAGCTACTCCCATGAGCCTCCTAAGCTCTAATAAACAGTGCTCCCATTGTTAATAAAGGCCACATTGGTCATGCCCAACAGATTTAGATTTACAAAGCAAAGATACCCAAATCTGTGAGTTGTTAGCCTCGAGTTGGCAACAATCTACAGACACAGGTTTTAACTTTGTTAATGTTCTTAGAAACATGTAGTCACCACATGTTCTGGAGTATTTTTGGTGAGAGTGGGGGTGTACATGATCTGCATAATCCCAGAGAAAAGGGGCATAGCTCCCTATTATGGCATTAGTCTTCAGGTACTAAACTTAGTAGCTGTGTTATAACAAGCACTACATTTATCTGAGGTGTCAGACTAGATTTCTAAAAATTAAAGACCAATTTTTGGGAAAAGAGGAAGATATTTTCCAGGTTAGCTTGAGAAACTAACATCACACATCCACCCTACAGTGACACTGCTACACACACGCAGTGTCGTATAAGTGCAAGAATATCCCTGACTACAGTCAAATGTTCTCAGTGGGTTATTGAGGAATGGTCAGGTTGGGGGAACAGTAGTTCATCAGTTTTTCTATAAGCACCATCTATGAAACATGGATTGTTCAGCAGTTAAAATGTATGTTAATGAGTATTCATGTGAGTTCTAGTACTGCCACTGGCTGAAGGTTGCATGCAAATTATTGCTGAAGTCTGAAAATTTTCTGAAATCCACCCCTTTAGCCTGAAGCACAAGGCTTTGGTGTTATAAGCATGAGCACCTGCATAGTAACTTCCTTACAAACACATAGTTGTATATGGAAATGATTATACTGCTGGATCTTGACCAAAAGTGAATCTAGGGAATCTACAGACACAATATAAAGAAAATCAAGGTTAATTGAGATGAGAGGAGAGTTGTGATAAGAAAGATTAATAGAAATTTGTGATGGTTAGAGCAGGTTAACTACCAGTGCCTATATGTCTGCAGTGCATTTGTATTGGTATCCTGCGCTGTAATTAAATCTGTGGCACTGCCAGTATACCATCCTGTCAAGCCCACTGTGCTTGTGCAGAGCTCTGCATCTGATCCATCTTATCTAAAATAAACAAGAGACACCCCACCACCGCCGCCACCCATCTCGACCTGAATTCTTCTGGGTTCCAGACAGCTCTGTGCTGAAAACCTGATGGCTTTGGGAAGCTAATTGCCTTTCTCTCTGTTTTGAAACAAGGGCTGGAGTTGATAAGGCAGTGTAGGATCACACCCACACAAGGAGCTCTGAGTCCAGAAGATTTCTACCGGCTGGAAAGGCAGGTGTACTCATTCGAATTACCGTGAGTGCACCTCCCTCACAGTCGATCAGTGGCATCTCCACCCTTGGACATGTTCATCCCTTGTCCTAGACCTGACATTTCAATTTGACCCTAAAAATTATATTGCACAGTTTTTTAAAAAGAAAACGCAACATTTCAGATTTTTATAATCGAACGACGCAGGCTAATGGTAGCCTACCTTTTGCACTACTGTCCATTAACACTTCAACATTTGTACTGTATCTTGTAACCTCAGATTAAAAACGAGATGATTACTGTTATGTTTACAGTAGACCAAGTATTCAACCTACAGCACTAAATCATTAACCGTGCCTGCCTTTGAGGCAACTTTTTATCAAACACTCTGTGCCTTATCGTCTAATTGTGGAGAGAGCTAATGATGTAGACGGTCTAGTTTTGTGCCTTTTAATATGGACTGTGTAATTAATAGACGCTGCTCATTAAAGCATTTCACTAATCTTTGATTTTAGGATGGCGTAAAACATTTTCAACATTTTCTTGTGGTCTTTGCATTTCATATCTTACACAATGTGTAGAAATCATAGTATTCACTGATTTTAGGGGTCTGTTTTATTTCACTTTGCAAATGGTTGTTATAATGAAGTGTTTTTTGTTTTATTTTATGATTTGTTTCTCAAAACAAATTGTCATTTAATTTGTTCTTTGTTAATCTGTAATGGAATTTTATGGATATGGCAAACTTAATGGTATTCTCACAAACTCTACTTTTAATTCTAATAGCTTTGGTTCAGCATTCTAATATTTTGGTGTTTAATTATTTTTGATTCAAATTTGAGTATATTCCAAGTTTTCTCCTCATATTATTAACCCAATTGTGTTAATCTTGTGCTTTAAAATGACAAATAAATAGATATTTCACCAGCAGCTGATTCTCTTGATGTCTTCATTGTGGCAATTAAATTAAGATATGTTTTGTTGCTTATCACAGCAAATGTGACCTTTCTCCTGTGAGTCACACATGTTCCCATCACATGTCCACTCACCTTTGGCCCTTCCCTCCATTCCTCCCCTGACGGGCTCCTCCTCCCATCTGTTACAAACCGCCCACTTTATCCATAACATCCAACTCGAAGGCTGACGTTTCAGAATTTCTGTCCTGTCAGCTGTTGTATGGTCTTCTGGTTGGTCTGGGGATTTAAGTCAAAGTTTATGTCTGTTTAACTGGAGTGGAAGTGTCCGTGTTTGACTGATATCATGACCTCTGTCCTGACTAAACTAGATTTTAGTTTCTTTATGGTGTTAAAAGTCACAAGTTTGAGTTATTTTGGTTCCATATTTTCAAAGGGGCTTGCTTGTTTATTGCTCTGTGCTTCCCGTGGAGACTACTAGGAAGAAGGGTCACAAGTCATGGGGGTTTCTTAATAAAAGAAAAAATAGATTTTGTAAGAAATATTCTATTGTGGTACCAATGCATTGACATAATTTCACAAGAGCCATTTCTTAGTCTTTAATATGACAAGGGCTTCTTTAACTGCCACGAAGGACAAGAGGCAAGCATTTTAACTTTATGGAAGGAACTAGATGTCTGCTGAGTCTCTTTTATAATTGAGTGCCCTTTGTTGTTTCAGGTGAATTTCCTGGAAGACAGTTTGAAGTCAGAGGACAATGATAAAGCAGACACAAGCACCAGGACCAAAGGAGCCAGAAAGCCAGTGACCACATTCAAAGGCCTTCTACTAGATGTTAGGTACAATTGGTCATCCTTCTCCCACTTCCATTTTGTTGTCACCTACATATTTGCACTTCCATCATGGTTGCATTTCAGTTAGAAAAAAAATAGTTTGCACACTTAAATTTGCAAGTTCCCAAAAACTATGGCGATGCAGTGCTTCAAAGAGGACGTTTACAACAGACAGTTTGAGAAGGTTTTCTTTTTTTTAACCTAGTATTTTGTTTGAGGACTGGTGTTATTTTATGTCATGCGATCTCTTAATTAAAGGTGGAGCCGACACATTTGCAACTTAGCTTGGTCCACATTGATATTTGCCTATCCTTGCAAGTCAAAACAATTAGTTGGGGTGTATGCCATTAAATTTGAAATGCATTTATGTCCCCCTCAGGATGAATGGTAATCACTTAGGTAATTTTACTGACTTTTCATTTAGCACCATCATTAGGTCAATATCTAAATTTGTCCAATATTGTGGTATATGACCAAATACTGCACTTTTGTGTTTAGAGTTAATTAGCTATTGTAAGCATGCTAACACACTAAATTAAGATACCTGCATAACATCAGTATGTCAGTGTTATTATTTAGCACATAGCACTGCTGTGCAGCCTTACAGAGCTGCTGGCATGGTGGTGGATTCTTAGTCTTGTTTATAGTGGTTGAGCAGGTTATATCAGTTACATAACTTGCATAGTCTTGTTCAACTGCACCTGTACCCAACTAGAATTCGATGTGCGTCTTTGTAGAACTCATTTAAGTTTGGGAGGCATAAGAAAGGGGCTGAAGGCAGAGAAGGTGACTGGTCATCAAAGGATTGCTGGTTTGATGCTTAGAACCGATGGTGTATTTATCTATTATTCCATTTTCTGTGTGCAAGACACTGCAAAGTCTATTCAGGCACTGCTCTGTGTCTGACACTGTTCCCTGTGAATAAATATTTGACTGTGTATTAGGTCCACCTACTGTAGCTACAACAACAAAAACTATATTACACCTATATTACATTCATGAATGTAATATAGGTGTATCTAATAAACTGGCAACTGTCTTTAGAGCCATATGAAAAAAGACATTCCAGTTCCCTTGTATATGTTGACTAAATGTTCTCTACACCTATTGACTTGAAGCCTAAAGCCATTATTGATGTGTTTGTACTTTTAGAGCTCAATTGATCTGGACATGCAGGAGCATTGCAGCTGCTACAATCAATTGTTCATTGAGTAGAAATCTGTTGGTGGTTTTAATTATTAATGCTGCCACAGTAATCAGTGGTAATCACTGGCAAACAACAGGTTAATCTTTAAGAAAGGAGCACTTCTCACACCGCAAGCACCACAAATGTGTATTCTTCATTTGCAAATAATGCCACTGAGTTCTGTTTTCACAGAGTGGCGGCTTTGATGTGAGGATTTTGAAAGCTCGGAGCTGTGATTTATAGTGTTAAATTCAAATGAGTCTTAAATGTAGTTAGGTTGGCGAGCCTTATTTTGAGGCCAGGGGATTTTGAAGGGTGTAGTGGGCTTTGAGCTTGTGTTTGCCAGCTTGATTTCAGCCCGAGCCTAAAGACTAGCTCCAAGCTCATGTTACAGCTGTTTTACTGAAGAAAAGAACATATGAGGACACAAAAAAGAAAAACTAAGTCTTTGTTCTCTGCAGGTCCAGTCCATGAAACATAGCCAAGCTGCATTAGTTAGAAGCTGTATACTTATGAGGCACAATCCATTTGCAAGTTTCTTCTTGGTAAATTTTAAGTCTCCAGTGCAGTGAGTGCTTATTGTTCACTGAGGCTGAATTCATCAAATCACGTACTATTTATAGACAAATTCAACTGCAGTGAACTTGGTTAAAAGAAACATGGAGTGCTCACCAGAAGCCATGCCTCTAGCCTGCCTAAAGTCCAACCTATATTTCAAATCCATCTTTATTTATTTTCATACATCTCTCAGTAAATCACATCTCACCTTCTCCTTTGGTACTAAATCAGAAGCCAAGAAGGAGAAATGTTGGTTTAATGATGTCACCCACCATTTTTTGCATCAGTTTGCTGGAATACTGTTGGTTCCCCATCTCAATGGATAACCAGTTTCCACACAGTCAATCAGGCTGCTTCATTTTAAGCTAAGCAATAACATCAGCGTTGTGTGATGGGCAGATGGCCACTCTGACTAAAAACCACACAATAACATACTACACAACACAAAAGTCACAGACTTTGATCAACACCTCACAATAGCTTTTTTCACTGTAGTCTTGTTTCACTTAGAACATGAACGCATGTCTTATCCTGAACCTTAGGTTGTTGAACGAACTAACAAACTTTCACTGGGGAAAGGTGCGCTGCTAATGTCAGTTTGGAGACCAGCTAATTAATGAGCTGCTCAGCTGCAGCACATTAAACGGCATGTGAACTTATCTGCGATTATCACTTGGGTCCATTTAGTTGCTGGTGCTCACTTGTCAATACCACTGCTAGCAGCACACTGTCCCCCTGTATGGCTTGTAAACTACAACATAAGTTGCCTCTTTCTTGCAAAAAGGGATGACTAAATGTGATTTCAGCTGCACTTTAAAACTGGGTAATAATGCTATTGCTTGAAAAGCACCAGATGCAGCTTTTCAAGCCAATCAAAAGCTTGAGAGAGATGCCGACCACGAATAGGCAGCTTATCAGAGACTGTGAGAAAGACTTGAAGTGTAGTCTAGAACTGTGAAAGAATGAATCTTTAAAAAAAAAAAAAGAAAAACTGATTTTTTACTTGATGAACTGAGCAAACAGTTTGATCATTTAATCGATTGACTAATTATTTCAGCTTCATAAAACATATGCCACTTGTTATATGTAGCACATAAGCACATTATCAAACTAAATGATAAGGTCTTTGAGGTAGATATTACCTGTGCATTGTCAAAATGTTTGCAATGGGTTCTTCCAAATGAAACTGTGTTGGGGAAAATCTTGAATTTGAAATTATGTTTATGATTTTTGGGAGCTGCAAGATATTGCTACTATATCATCCTCCAGGAAGAAGATCATACCACACAGACATGCATGCACAGCAGTCATAGCAGCTCAGTCTTTAATGTGCAAAACAGAAACAACAAAGCATGTTGCGAAGCAAATGGGAACTCCCGTCTGCATCTAGCAGTTGTTTGCATCTGTAGTACACACTTTATATAGCTCAAAGCTGCTGCATTTTATTTAAGACCTAAGCGTCTGGTTTCCACTCAGACAGCTTTCTAATGTAGCCTCTGACCTACTGTGTGTGTTTTTTCTCTGAGCAGCCCCGCAGAGGAGCTCAGCTTTGGTTCTGGAGAGACCGAGAAAAAATGTCTCATTATCCTGAACAATGTGACCAAAAATCAAGTGGCCTTCAAGGTGAGTACAAAGGCATTCACATGCATGTGCGTGTGCCAACTTGGTTGAGCTTAAGTTTGTGAGCACAGCATGAGTTTATACAGTGACTCCTAAATTAATATAATGATAAAGACTATGAGATTCAGTTGAGTAGTTTGTTCTTTGATTAGCCAAACAATGACCGTGTTTACAGGTGATTAGAAGTTGAAGTCATTCATTAAACAAAATAGCCTAACATTGACTCGTTCCAGTTTTCCAAATGTGAGGATTTGTTGCTTTTTGCTATCTGCTAACAGTTTACCACTGTAGATTAAAATTTCTTTTAGTTTGAGTGTTGGACAAAACACACTTTGAAGAGGTTGACATGAGCTGTAGGAAATTCTGATTTGCATTTTACCTCTTTTCTTACATTTCATAGACTAACTATTTAAATCTTTGATCAAACATATGATTTATTAAGGGTGTTTTTGGTGTCATCCACAGGTGCGGACCACAGCACCTGAGAAGTACCGAGTGAAGCCCAGTAGCAGCTGCTGTGAACCGGGAGCTTCAGTAGACATAGTGGTGTCCTTACATGGAGGTACTGCACTTCAGCTTTGCACCTTACTCCCCTCACAGCAGATGTTTCTAAATGCTGAACCTCAGAATAATCAAATGGTTCACTCTTCCCAGCAGCCACTTTTCTTTACCTGGTATATACAGTATATTTCAAAAGTTATAAAAGAATCATCTCACCAAAACTCCTGTGCATGTAAAATTATTTTGTGACCTCGGAGCTCTGAAACGTCAGCTGTCGGTTATGATGTACTACACATATCTCTGAAAAAGCACTGCCTCCCATTTAAGGCTTATTTTTGGGGGTTTTTATTGTTGTTTTCTTTTTTTCCAGTACTGTCATGTCTGACACAGATTTTTTTTTCTTACAAATCGCCTCTATTTCACCTCACTTAAGTTTGTTATTGATTTAAAGAACAATTTAAATTTTCTACCACATGAACTGTAAAAAAATCGAGCCCTTCCCATTTCTGTATGAATGTAAGGGTATTTAACGGGATTGTTTGCTCACAAATATGTGGATACTCTTTAATACCTACAAACAGCAACAGCACTATTGTCCTAATTGTATTGTCTTAAATGAATTTTTTTGTTTTTGCTGTCCCCCTGAATGGTTTCATACAGGTTGTCAAGTTTCTCCACAGGACAGATTTTTGGTTATGGCTGCTGAAATGGACAATGTCGGATCACAAGAGCTTACACAGTTCTGGAAAGAAGTGCCAAAATCCAAGGTCATGGAACACAGGTAGGACTCTGTGCTCCTGATTTAACCATGTCGGTGAAGGAATTTGTGCGCACTCTTGATTGCAGCGGTAGCCTGGACTTGGAGGCAGCATATCACCCTGATGGCCACTGCTCATTAGAATGTCTTTCCCTCAGGTTGCGCTGTCGTGTTTTAGAGCGTGTCAAACCAACAGCGAGCCCTCTCAGAGGGAGTCCTGTGGATAACGGGACCAGTGGGCAGCAAGAGTTAAACACAGTGGTGAGTTCTGGTGGTGTAACTTATCTTTAAGTTACACTGTGTTTGTTTATTATTTATCTTAATCTCACATACAGTATATACAGTGACTAAAAAGTATTCACCCCCTTGGATATTTTACCCTTTTATTGATTTTTTAAATCAATCATGGTCAATAATTTGGCTTTTTTGGGGATTGGGCGTGAGCAGCCCTTTTCACGTGT